CGATATCGTGCACATATACGCCAACGGGCAAGCTGATATTGCCCTTTATAGACCTCACATGACTAACAGTACTCAAGAAAGTTTTAAGACCCCTTAACAATTCCCTGCTTTCAAAAAGCTGCCTTACATAAATATACATGATGAACAAGACAACATCTGATCAGCATTTACTATGCCGCCACTTTTATCCGTGTACCGTATGATCTAATTTTGCTAGTTTAATCGGCAGGTTAACTGAAATATATTAGTGCCCTACCTGTTCATTTTATTGTATCCAGGTGTATACCAAATTAAACAACTTCCAGCTCGCATTTTCCTTAATCTCTGCCAGTTACTACCCATGGTAATGCAATAACATCAGATCTAAAAATCTGGAGATGTTCCATGTTGAATGATGAATGACTCCTCCAACACCAAGTTTCACGAGGTATTGCACCATTTCCTTCGCGAGTAATTGCACAGGTGGTCATCCATGCAGGGATCATCTCTCAATGTAACTGAAAAACTTGCAATTTCAGGAACATCTTGCATATTAGATATACCGAATGACGTTTCAGAAGCTGTTCCTCCTCATGTGCTACCACATGAACAACTACAGTTGTCAAATAACGAATGACTGTTCAGAAACCAGATTTCAATATGCCATGTACTAGTTTAAAATATAACTTCAGCGAAAAGTTAAAATGAACACTAAATATAAGATTGACATTACATGGAAGATGACATGTTTACACGGTACAGGATCTGCCTCGAACTTCAAAAATAATATATGCTATGAAAATTACAGATTGCCAGCTATGCCACGCATATCAACGCTTAGAGTCATATAGAGCATGGATAGCGGAAAATGAACACTGACCGTCACCAACCCAAGAGCAAAAAAAATTCGACGCTCGGAAGGAAATCCAGACAACTACTTTAATTCATATCTCCGACAGACGCAACGTCGACTTCAATTATCCAAAGGCAACGGCGATAATCGAAGGCATCAACGTTGATAATAAAGATAATTACCCATAAGAGCTAACTTGTATCCATACACATAATGAATTACCGGCTATAACTAAGGTTTACCACAGATCAGCAGACGCCATATGGCCATAATCTTTAATAGTTTTGTAGATTGATCAGTCTACCTGCATTATCAACTACATATCATCTGCATGATGTAAACAGACGTTTCCCAGACGAAACAATATATGAAGGTTGGTGTATATATTAAGTGCAAAGTAGTATCCAGGTCAAATCGAATGCCGATATCTTGAATGTTGTCAGTGGCGTATTGATACAGTGTTTCTGATGTCTGCTTCGAACTCCGAAAATGCCGAGTTTGATTTCGCGAGAGTGCTTTGTCCTCTTAGCAAATTCTTCTATGAAAGGAATTTACCGCACGTCGCTTCAGACCAAGATTGCTCATCGTAGAGTGTCGTACTCAGAACCGATAGGTGCCGAAATTAGGCCCTGATCTAGGTCACTCGCTCATCCGCCTTCTGTTGTTGATAAATGAATACTACTCTGTGGGAAGAAGATAGGAGACGACAAGCTCTGCTTGCCGCTTAGCCATTGACTCTGAATGTAAAATAAGATACTACTGGCTGATCACAGAGAAATGGGATCAGCGCCGCATCGAAAATTGTGTGAAAAGAATGGCATCGAAAGAGCCCAATTATGAAACTAAAGGAAGATCTACATTCCAGGAGTGAAAAA